ATCATTTGTAAACAACAGAATGACATTTTTGTCTAAATAACAGCTCTTGAATGAAGAAGATTACGAAAAGCACAACAATCAACCGTAAAAGAAGTCTTCAGGACTTGACCAGCAAAGGTAGTTTTGTATACACTATCAATGTCTTTTACATTTGTAAAGCAAGGTACATAAAAAGAGGTTCAGAAACTATTTGTGATAAAACCCTAAATGAGGGTTAAGTTTGTACAAAATAACTATCGAACATTAGGGTTTCAAACTTAAGAAATCAGATTCAGATTTTAGAAAATGTGAACAATTGAAATTTAGGCAAGGTTGATTAGGGTTTCAAAGTTTAGAAATGAGATTCAGATTTTAGTTACTGACAAAGATTCAGATTTGTAGAAGGGGAGATGCACGTACAGTCTGTACAAAAAAACGTTTGAACATTAGGGACATCCGGTGTGTGAGTGACAAAGAAATAACATTTGGGAGGAAATAGGAGACTGTTGATACATGTCAACTACCAATCTAGAACATTAAACAGTAAGCAAAATAAAAACTGCACTGTGTTCCCACCTATTCGTTGACAATCTATACAAAACAAAACAAACATTTAAAATATGGATTGGCCAAAAAAAACAGACCTGAGATCCTTTTAGGAATATGGTATAATATTTAACAAAGTTTGAATTTTTAAACAAAAATGACCCAAATATGCTAAGTAGAATAACAATAACGTTTAAGACAATTAGGTATCATTCAGAGTGAGATCATGTGATATCATTCATACAAGTGCAAAACAGTAAATGAAAGCATATATTTAAAATATGAATAGGTCGAAAGTAGACTCAGATCTGAAATAAATCTGGATTCCAAGGGTATTTTTATGTAGAAACGCATACATATTTTTCATGGCTTTAACATCTGATCATCGAGATGACATGCAAGTTCACAGATTAAAAAACCCTAGGTCTAAAATCATGGAATGTCACTCAACTCGATTTGAAAATCAACCTAAAAAAATCAACTCAAAAAAATAAAACTGAAGAACAAAGCAGATCTAAAATGTTTGGATCTAAACAGGTGTTTTCCGCCGTCGTAGTGGTCCAATAACACCACATCGGCCAAATGAGTTAAACACCGGTGTTGAGTTTAATCCAACATGAGATTGTAAATATAAATATAAAAGGTGTATAAAATAGCTATTCTTACGTGGAAACCCGGAAAGGGAGAAAACCACGGGACTTTTTAGGTTAACGTCCAAGCCCGCTCTTTCTCATTATTACCCCCCCATCACTCAATTACATAATACCAGTATAGAAACCTCCATCAATGGAGCTTGAACAAGCTTCCTAAACTAGAATGATAAAGGAGAAGCAATAAAGGGGGGAGGGAAGAAAGCTCCCCCGGGAGAGAAAAAGCAGATCCTCTCTAAGGAAGAGCCCTCCTCCTATTTATAGGAAGGAGGGAAAAGCCCTCCCACACTGATGGGCCGAAAAGGCCTTATCGGGCCTATTCAATCCGTACTCGGGCCAAGGGGCCTAAATGGTTCTAACTGGGCCGAATTGACGGGGCCTAAATGGGCCTCGTCAATTGGGTTCCGTACCGGGGCAGTGACTTGGGCCTCTGAACAGTAGTAGACCGGGATAATATATCCAACACAAGTCCCCCAGTTTCTTGAGCAGTGAGCTTGCAAATCTACTCGAGAAAGTATACTCTTGCTCACATCCTTTCCTACCATCCTTGAATCAGTCTTCGAATAGTCTCGGACGCAAGGTATGCATAAGTGTCAGATGAGATGTAACCCCCACACCAGGCACAACGGTGTTGTAGAGCCAGCCACCCGTGATGCATAAAGCGGCGGTCGCCATCCTAGATCAAGGATGGACGAGCCCGAATGAGAGTCAGGCACGACGGTGCTGTGGAGCCCGTTTGTGCTGCATAAAAAACGGCGGTCGTCATCCTAGATCAAGGATGGACGAGTCCGACCGAGAATCAGGCACGACGGTGCTGTGGAGCCCGTTCGTGCTGCATAAAGCGGCGGTCGTCATCCTAGATCAAGGATGGATGAGCCCGATCGAGAATCAGGCACGACGGTGCTGTGGAGCCCGTTCGTGCTGCATAAAAGCGGCGGTCATCATCCTAGATCAAGGATGGACGATCCCGACCGAGAATCAGGCACGACGGTGCTGTGGAGCCCGTTCGTGCTGCATAAAAAACGGTCCTTGCTATGATATGGACTTACGATGCCATGGTCATTGCCATGGTCCTTACATTGCCATAGTCGAAAGGAATGGACCTGACTCAACTCTGACAGACGTGGACCTGACTCGACTCGACTTGACCTGGACAAACATGGACTCGACTCGACTCGACTTGACAAACATGGACTCGACTCAACTCGACTCGACAAAAATGGACTCGACTCGATTCGACAAACATGGACTTGGGCCTTATCGGGCCTATTCAATCCGTACTCGGGCCAAGGGGCCTAAATGGTTCTAAGTGGGCCCAAATGGTTCTAAATGGTTCTCCCTTTCCGGGTTTCCACGTAAAAATAGCTAGTTTATACACCTTTTATATTTAAAAAAAAAAGAAAAAAAGAGAGAGAAACCAGGAATCCAGGGCTCCCCAAATGTCACTTTGACCGCTAGTATAGAAGAGCCGAACGTTAAAAAAGAGAGTCTCACCTCAGCTTTTAACACGTAGAATCATTCCGGATGACCGAATGACGAACGGGTTAACAGTTTGGAGGGAGCCGCCATTTTAGCTTAAGTAAGAAGTCACCCGATCTGGTAATCTTGCTTACAGTTTGAAAGTGGTCACCTCAAACCCCTAATATGGATGATACGAATCGGAGGAAACTCTTCGGAATGCATCGAAATTATGGGTTTGGAAGGGAGAGTCTCACCTCAGCTTTTAACACGTAGAATAATTTCGGATGACCGAATGACGAACATATTAACAGTTTGGAGGGAGCCGTCATCTGAGCTAATACACTTTGACCCTGTGGTCATGAACAAATAGAGGGACCAAAATGGCTTGGAGGGAATCACCTCAGCTAAAAGATTTTGACCTTGTGATCACGAACGGTAAAGGGATCAAAACGGCTCGGAAATGGTGTCAGAACAAGTATTGTCAAAGCGAGCGACGTTCGGTAACATGGATTGTCGTCCGGGGAGGCACTGCTTTCAGGAAGTCTCATCTCAGCTTTTTAACACGTAGAATCATTCCGGATGACCGAATGACGAACGGGTTAACAGTTTGGAGGGAGCCGCCATTTTAGCTTAAGTAAGAAATCACCCGATCTAGTGATTTTGCTTACAGTTTTAAAGTGGTCACCTCAAACCCCTAATATGGATGATACGGATCGAGGAAACTCTTCGGAATGCATCGGAATTATGGGTTTGGAAGGGAGAGAGTCTCACCTCAGCTTTTAACACGGAGAATCATTCCGGATGACCGAATGATGAACGGGTTAACAGTTTGGAGGGAGCCACCATTTCAGCTAGCAGAATTTGACTCGATCAGAACAGCTTGGAGATGGTGTCAGAATTATGAGTGCGGACGAACCCAAGTCGCGTCCGGTAACCCTAAAGACGAAGGAACTAGGAGTCCGGGTTTGAAAAATACAAAAAAACAATGAAGTAACAAGATTGGGGAAAGAATCGAGTTTTATTATTCAAACACTACTCACCGGAAAGTACAAGAGAAATCAAGAGTAATACAACTTGGGCAAAATATTATGCTACTGAATGATCCCTGATCGGGGAAGATAGAGACTGAGAACTGCCAGCCTGCGCCGGATCATCAGAAACTGCCTTCTGTCGTTAGTATGGGTGGCCTGGATCATCGCAACTATGGGATTGGAGGATGGCCAGTCGAGTCCATGTTTGTCGAATCGAGTCGATTCGAGTCCATGTTTGTCGAGTCGAGTCCATGTTTGTCCAGGTCAAGTCGAGTCGAGTCAGGTCCACGTCTGTCAGAGTTGAGTCAGGTCCATTCCTTTCGACCATGGCAATGTAAGGACCATGGCAATGACCATGGAGTCGTAAGTCCATATCACAGCAAGGACCGTTTTTTATGCAGCACGAACGGGCTCCACATCTCCGTCGTGCCTGATTCTCGGTCGGGCTCGTCCATGCTTGATCTAGGATGACGACTGCCGCTTTTATGCAGCATGAACGGGCTCCACAGCATCGTCGTGCCTGATTCTCGGTTGGGCTCGTCCATCCTTGATCTAGGATGACGACCGCCGCTTTATGCAACATGAACGGGCTCCACAGCACCGTCGTGCCTGATTCTCGGTCGGATTCGTCCATCCTTGATCTAGGATGACGACCGCCGTTTTTTATGCAGCACGAATGGGCTCCACAGCACCGTCGTGCCTGACTCTCGGTCGGGCTCGTCCATCCTTGATCTAGGATGGCGACCGCCGCTTTATGCAGCACGAACGGCTGGCTCATCAGCGCAGTCGTGCCTTCTTTTTTTTATCGGGCTCGTCGGTCTTTAATCTAGGATGTCGACCGTCACTTTTATGCAGTAGGGGCGGATGGCTCTACAGCGCCGTCGTGCCTAGTGTGGGGGCTACACCTCCCCTGACACTTATGCATACCTTGCGTCCGAGACTATTCGAAGACTGGTTCAAGGATGGCAGGAAAGGATGTGAGCAAGAGTATACTTTCTCGAGTAGATTTGCAAGCTCACTACTCAAGAAACTGGGGGACTTGTGTTGGATATATTATCCCGGCCTACTACTGTTTAGAGGCCCAAGTCACTGCCCCGGTACGGAGCCCAATTGACGAGGCCCATTTAGGCCCCGTCAATTGGGCCCACTTAGAACCATTTAGGCCCTTTGGCCCGAGTACAGATTGAATAGGCCCGATAAGGCCTTTTCGGCCCATTAGTATGGGAGGGCTTTTCCCTCCTTCCTATAAATAGGAGGAGGGCTCTTCCTTAGAGAGGATCTGCTTTTTCTCTCCCAAGGGAGCTTTCTTCCCCCCCCCCCCCCCCTACTGCTTCTCCTTTATCATTCTAGTTTAGGAATCTTATTCAAGCTCCATTGATGGAGGTTTCTATACTTGTATTATGTAATTGAGTGATGGGAGGGTAATAATGAGAAAGAGCAGGCTTGGACGTTAGCCTAAAAAGTCCCGTGGTTTTCTCCCTTTCCGGGTTTCCACGTAAAAATAGCTAGTTTATACACCTTTTAAATTTATATTTACAATCTCATGTTGGATTAAACTCAACATTGGCACCGTCTTTGGGAACAAATAAAAAAACATAATGTGTTCTTGATTTTCTACAAAATTTGGAGACAAAAACGGCTATTGATTTCAACAACAAGAAGGAAAAATGATTCGGAGGTGAACTGATTTCAGCAATTAAGAAGGGAAAAACAGTCCACAATGACAACCAAAAACGTTGTCCAGCCATGTGAAGTAGCTTCACCCTCTTCAAAGATAGCAGCTGTGGATGAACCGCCATAAAATTTAGCATGTGGGACAGCAGCAGGAGACTCATGTGGGGATGGGCCCCGCACACTTAGCAACGAGGAGGGTGGCCTCTATTCACCCATCACGTGGGGAGGGGCACAGGAAATGGCAGATGAGTAATATCGTACTCTGAGATGACAAGTTCTGACACAAACACAAGTGAATGATTGGACAGATTCATCAATATCTGAGAGAGAACCCCGACTCCCGAACGGGAACATCCCGAACGCCAAGGCAAATTACTGTACCGACGGGAATCCCATGGCACTAGTTCAACATCTACAAACGGGAGCATCTACAATACCCGACCATTCCGAAGGATCTGCAGAAGAGGTCATGCACATCAGCAGAAAAATAACCTCTTCGAATCATAAAAGGACCGAACGGGAGTTCCCCGGACATTCTCCAAAGGGGCTTGACCGGGCCGAACATCAACCATGGCTTAAGGTGCAGCGTTTTACTCATGATCAATCATGCCAGAGAGGATGGGGTTCCAATCATCAATTGCCTTATGTTAATAATATTCATTTGTGCTTCTCTTACACTTCAAGCAAATATGCATTTTATGTAATTCTTCATATCATATTTCAAGCATAACAACTAATTCTGTTGAGGGTAGGTCCCGTAGATCCGAAAGCTCAACACGAACTTTGGATATATCAGGAATGGTCCAGAATCAAAGTGTGTGAGAAAATATAAAATCTGAATTAACTAGAACTCGAAAACCCAATTGTATTAATTAACCAATCTGATTACAAAAGATTTCTCGATCAGTAAGTCGGAAACTATGCTTTAATACAAGAAATAAGAGCAAATGATGTTATTCTAGAGCTTGAGTATCGAAAATCTAACCCTTACAATGACTTGAAACCTTCTATTTATACTAATGGAGAGCATGGGCTGCCTCTTGCTGATTGGCCGTTGTTCCATCGACTTGGTCATCCATGCTTCCACTTGCTGATGTCATAGTCTGACATTAACTGCACCTAGCCACTTGCTGGTTGGCCGTTGCTCGAACGGGATGTTGGTCCATACTGAAGATGCTGTCAAATTGGCCCAAGTATAGTATATAGTCCGAACCTCGTTCGGTATGTCTTCTTATTGGGCCAACCTTTATTTGGGCCGAACCCCGTTCGGTATGTCTCCTTACTGGATCTTCTCATCATAGAGTGATGGGCCTGTTACTTGGGCCGGATATCTTGGGCCTTCCCGATCTGGGTATTGGGCCTCTAGGTCAATATCCCAACACAAGTCCCCCACTTCCGATGTCTCGAACGAAGTGAGTGCATCAGGAAGTATACCAATGTCATAATACCCCGAATGGCGATCGGGGTACAAATGTAATCAGTTCCCCATGCTGCGATTTGACGGCTGCCGCTTCATTTCCCCATATTCATCATGATAACCGTCGTTTAGTCTTTTCATTAGACGCGTGTCTAGCTTAAATGCCCCTAGTGATGTGTCGCTCTCTGATTGGTTCTCGACACGGCGGTTTCAAGGCTATAAATTAGCCCTTAACTCCTTAATTCCGGGTTTCGATTCTGCAATTCCTTGGCCTTCGTTGTTTCCTCTGCAAATTTCCCCCTCCTTCCCTTGCTCAGGTAATTTCCCAACCTTGGATTCCCCATCTTCATTTCTGGCTTCGATCGAGATGAGCCCCACAGAGCATTCTTCTGATTCGGAGATGGCCTCTCATGGAGATGACTGTGACACCGCCATTGTAGATGCCATCCCAGTTCCGTTTTCCGTTTTTTCCTACTGAGACGGCGACGAATTCCAGGGCTGAGGCGGAGGACCTCCCTAGCACTTCTTCTTCCTCCAGTGAGGATTCTGATGACACCAAATCCGAGGACGAAATAGCCTCCATGGCGGTCGGACGTCCCAACGGTGTTCCTCGCCATACTCTTGACCTAAAATTGATTAGGGAGAGGAGGCAAAAATTGACCTCTCACAATAGGGCCGAAATTCCGGCCCTTATCCCTGACCCGGTGGATTTCCGTTTGCAAGCCGGGCTTCACCCAATGCGTCATAGGCCCGGAATGACCATAGTCCACTTTGACTCGATTAGGGCCGGCCTTAGATTTCCGCTACACCCCTTCTTCATTTCTTTCTTCAATTTCTACGAAGTTGTACCGGCCCAGATTATGCCGAACTCTTATCGAGCAATGACGGGTTTCATTTGTCGTTGCAAAGATGCCGGTGCCCGACCAACCCTAGAGCTCTTCCACCAATTTTTCAAAGTAGCCCCCCAACAAACCCATGGCTATTTGGCCACTAGTGCCCGAACGGGACACATCCTGTTCAAAGGAAACCCAACTTCGATCAAAGGGTGGAAAGACCGGTTTTTCTTCGTGTCCATCCCGGACGGTCTGATTCCCCGCAAGTGGAATGCCTTTCCCCGCAAAACCCCTGATCCTGTCCTCACTGAAGAAATCTACAAGGACGTGCTTGCTATGGAGAAGGATAAATGCATGGACATAATGAATTATCTGACCCCCGAACGACTTATAACAGTCGGGATAGGTACTGCCCGTTCTCTTGGGTTTACTTGTTTTGATAACCCAAGTGCCTTGGTCCGGGCGGTCCTTCCCGTGCGAGAAACGTTCTTTTATTCTTTTTTTCTAGTTTCTCACACGCTAGGGCCGCTCGATACTAACATTGTTCTTTTGTCTTTTTTCAGCACCCAACCCAGATCTTCCTATGGATGATAGCAGAGTTATCGCAGCCGGTGGGGCCGGTAAGCGGAAAAAATCCCGGAAGAACCCCCAACCTACTCCCACCATTGTTCCCGCTCAGGAAGCTGCCCCTTCCCAACCGCTCCCAGAACCTCAGCCAATTCAGCAGGTCCACCAGGATCAATTAGAGGCCATGCTGCTTGATGACCGGTTCGGTTCTGACCAACTGCACCAATTTTCCCAGCATTTCGACTCCGTTCGGGGGGAATCCTCGAATGCTGGTGAGGCCCATACCGACCATATTACGGGTCAGGTCGAGCGGATCTCCCTGTCCGACCCTGTTCATGAGGTTTTAGAGAGGGCCGGATCTACAGCGAGCCAGATCTGGTCTACCTCCTCCTGGTTCAACAACTTTTCCATTCCTCAGTTGTCGGTCGAGCAATCTGAAGAATGTCTGGCTCTCACTGCTCTGAAGGTATATTGTCTTTTGTGCTTTGTCTTTATTTTATTCTCCGTAACCAGTACTAATTCTCGAACGATATTCTGTAGATGGGCTTGTACACCCTTCAGATGCGGGAGGCCCGCCTGGCCAAGGAGCGGGAACTGATTGTTGCCCAGTCTTCTGCTGAGCAACATGCTGCTGCCGCCATCGCCTCTCTGGAGGCCGAACGGAAAGCCTTTGCGGAGGAAAAGCAGAGGCTGGACGCTGAACTTGGTACCCTTCGGGTCCAACTTGCAGCTTCCCAGGCGAAGGTCCTTGCCGCTGAGGCTGCCCAGGTCAAATTTGAAGAAATGCCATCCAGCATCCCGGACGGTCCTTATGAAGTGAGCGTGGATCTGTCCGCCGTCCGGGATACGTTTAAATCCTCTGATGAATTCTCCATCATCAAGGATGAACACGCAAAGGCCCAAATCCCGTTCGCCTTTGGGGCGTATTTGAAGGGTTTTCCCAAAGGCGCCGGCCGGCTATCGGCAGGGGTGGCCCTCTTGGATAAGGACCCGGAGGCCAAAAAATGGAATGATTCCATTGTCTCCGATCTTTATGGCAAAATTGGCCAGGTCTTGCTGCGTCCCTTCGTCACTCAGCTTCAAACTCAATTGGGGAGGCCGGTTCAGGCTTCTGATCTCCCCACAGATGATATTATCCAGGCGCAGTTTGAGAAATTTCTGCGAGCCCAGCAACGGGAAGCTGATCGAGCTGCGGGAAAAGAGCCTGAACCCCCGTCTGATGATGATGAGGATGAGGATGAAGAGGGAGATGAAATGGCCCCCGATCAATAATTCATATGTATTGTAATTCTTGTTGTAATTTCCTTTTTTCCAAGTAGCCTGTATTTCCCGGTCAATAGCACCGATGAATATATATCCCTTTTTGCCTGAAACTTGGCGTACTGTCTTTTCTGTTTTTAATGCATGATTTACTCGCCATTCGGGATTAGGCCTATTTTGAAGGACTTAACCAATTTCCTAACTTATTTCTTGCTCAAATAATCCTAACGCCGTTGATCGCCGTTCGGGCATTAGAAAGTTCTGATAATTTACTTAAGGAAAAAACCCCTTCCCCCTGGTACTCAGCCGTTCGGGCTTCATACCAAATTTTAGGACTTGGCACATTCTTGCTTCAGATAATCTCTTACAACTTGATAGCCGGTCGGGCTTTAGTTCAATCCTTAGGCTATCTTTTTATGACGTTGATAGCCGGTCGGGCTTCAGGTCAACTTTTAGGACTTAGCAGTTTTCTTCCAGATAACCTTTTTACAATACTGTTGGCCGGTCGGGCTTCAGGCCGACATTTAGGACTTAGCATTTTTTTCCCAGATAACCTTTTACAATACTGTTGGCCGATCGGGCTTCAGGTTAACATTTAGGACTTAGCATTTTTCTAAACAGTAAGCCCCTGTGACCTTTGCTAATCCTCTATAAGCCCGTCCGGGGTTCGTGCATAAAAAGTGAATCATAAATGCCCCAAATTAATCGTAACCACCCAATGCCACGTGTTGCTCATGGATTAGGGATTTGTGCGGCACTTTCCCTATTTATAGAGAGGTGCTTCCCCTAATTTCTCCTGCTGTTTTCTCATTTTTCTTTCGAGCTTTCTCTCTCTAGAATTCCTTTGCATACTCTTAAGCCTTCTCTCTCTAGAGTTCCCAAATTTATTCCAGCGTTTTTATGTACTACTCCTCTAGCTCAGAATCTGAAGAGATGCCTTTGATCCGTAAGAGCAAAACATCCGCTGGTAACCAGGCCGAAGGCTCTTCGTCCCAAACACCCAAACCCGCCAATCCTCAGGCCGGCAAACCTATCGAACAGCCACAGGAGGATGGATGTCTGTCCGGAGATGACCTCCAGGTTTTCAACAAGGGGATGCCCGAGCAGCCACCACGCATTGCCCTACACTTCAATCGCATACGCAAACACAAACAACGTCTCCCAGAAGGTGTTGAACGGCAACTTAGCCAGTTGTTGCCCCCACCAAGAGAATACTGTGCCGGATTCATTCGGCACCCTATGAGGCACAGACCGGGGCACGTGCTAGTGGAGTTCTTACGCCGGGTTCCCTCTCCATTCGTTCATAGTGGAGTTCTTACGCCGGGTTGCTGTACTGCCCGCTCAGTTCGTGCCCAGCAGCTACCATATTCTGACAGGCTTCATTATCCGGTGCCACGAGTTGAGGATCACCCCGAGCGTCGATCTGTTCCTTTATCATTACTGCTATCAGCCCTACTGGACGACCGGGTACCTGAAACTGGTAGCTCGTTCTGACCGTCAGCTGTTCACAGAGAACGTTACCCCGCAGGCTGACTGGGAAGAGCGATTTTTGTTCGTTCGGGTAGGTGATTCTTTGCCATTCCCGGACAGGTGGAACGCATACCCCGTTCGGGATTACCTGCCCAGGGTGGATGCTGTTCTACGCTCCCAGGCTGAGTCTTTGCGAATGGGAGGGACCAGGAGTCTTCGCAGCTTTGTCACTGCCTCGAGCATGTTATCTGCTGGAATTGGTAAGCATAGTAAGGTTTTAACCCGATCACCCTTCGCTCTCACAATTCAACTTATTTTTTAT